TGAGCGGGGGAAGGGCAGAGAAAGAGAGAGGGACAGAGGATCTGAAGCAGGCTCCGGGCTGTCAGCACAGAGCCCGATGCGGGGCTTGAACCCACCAACCATGAGATCATGACCTGAGCCAAAGTTGGACGCTTCACCGACTGAGCCACCCGGGCGCCCCTACCTGATTTTTTTTTTTTTTTTTTTTTTTTTGCACCAGTTACACAGTTAACTATTTTTCAACTCACATCATTTACCATTTTTTACCGATCCTGTCAGGTAGACGCATCGTTTTGGTTCTGCATGATTCTGATTTTACAAGTTGGGAAAATGCGACTGAAAGGGACAGCATGTCCACTGTCGCCCAGCCAAGGAGCCGGGAGGGCAGGACTGGAACCCGGGGCCTGCCGCCCAGAGCCTTGCGTCAGTCCCTCTGCTCTCCTGCATTTGAACCCCCGGCTCTGTGCCAGGCCTCTCCCTGGAACCTGACACGTAGCAGCCACGGGGCAGGGGCGCGCGTTTCAGAACGATTCACGAAGCAGCCACTGGGGGAGGGGGAGGGGGTAAGCGGAGAGCAGAGTCCCTCCCTTGCCCTCCCCCCTGCACCCCCACCTCCAGAGGAGTTTCCAGCATCCCAGTTAGTGCCGGGAGCCCTTCGCACACCCTTCCCGCGCTCCTGCTTCTTCTCCCTGCTGGTGTTTCATCCGGGCGCTCCTGGAGAGCTGCACCTGCGTGTTTCACAAGCCAAACGTTGGACAGAAGCCTCTAAACGTCTGGAGGAGCGCAACGAGTGGGTGCACGCAGGTAATGAAGCTGAAAGCTCGCAGAGTCCGTGGCCTTCGGGGCTTGATTAGCGGGGACTGGCACTTTGCTGCAGAATTGGCAAATGAAATGCTTCTTGGAACTAACGCGGGGCGAATTTGTAAAACTTGGGAACGTTCGGTCTTGAAAAGCCGGCCTTCCCCAGTCTGGCAGGGACCCAGACAGACAGGGCCCCTGGAAGCTTGCTGACCCCTCGCGGGGTCTGCTGGGAAGGAATGGGAAGACTTGGAAGACGGAGGTTCCAGTCTGGGCGCTGGCACGTCTTGGCTGTGATCCTTCGGCCAAATTTCCTACCCTCTCGAGCCTCAGCTTCCTCATCTGTAAAAGGGACGCGTGTCCTGGGTGGCTCAGTCGGTTAAACGTCCGGCTTCGGCTCAGGTCGTGATGTCGGGATTCTTGGGTTCAGGCCCCGCGTGGGGCTCTGTGCTGGCAGCTCGGAGCCCGGAGCCTGCTTCGGATTCTGTGTCTCCTCCTCTCCCTGCCCCTCCCCCACTCGCGCTCTGTCTCTCTCTCTCTCTCTCTCTCTCTCAAAAATAAAATAAACAGAAAAAATAATTAAAAAAAAAAGGCGGATGTCTCCTACCTCATGGCATCGTGGGAGGATAAATGAAATATTGCGCATAAATCTCGTGGGATCGTCAGCTCTGGTTCTCTTCATTCTGTTTTTTGCCTGCCTGCATCCCTCCCAAGCCCCGCTGCCCTCCACCTCTGTTCCCTGTTGCTCTGTGCCTGGAACGTTGCCCCCGCGGACTACATTACCCAGCTTCCCTTGCTCTGTGGCTTCAGCCATAGAGAGGCTCCGGTCGCGGCTCGGGGGCGGGGCCACAGAAAGAGGCCGGGGGTGTTTCTCCTCCACTCCTTCCTGGCTTCAGTGCTGGCCTTCAGATGGCATCTGAGTCCCTCGAGAGCTGCCGCTGCCACCGGGCAGCCCTCCAGGGGGCTCCGGCCCTCCCTGGGCTCCCGCTGCAAGAGATGGGGATGTGTCCCCTTGCGCTGGTCCCCATGTCTTCCCCACGCTCTGCGACTCGCTCCCAGAATTCCAGCCATGGCCCGTGCTGTGTCCTCCAGGCATCTCGTTATCGTGTTCTCAGTAATGTCAGGTTTAATTTTTCTGTCACCAACAGCCTACATGCGACCCGAGATGAGCCCCTTCTGCTGTTCCGCACTCCTCAGTGTCCGTGGCCAGAGACTGTCTGCTCTCCCCTCCGCAGGATAAAAAGGAGGTAAACAGTCTGGCCTCCTGCCAGCTTCGGGAGGGGGAGTAGCTTAACCAGCGGTGACTTTGGGATGGGAAACCCAGGGGTGGAATCCGACCCCTCCTTCTGTGAGAAAAGAGGCCCGCGGTTGTGGGGTTGGATTAACTCTGTGCACGAAAACTCAGGGACTCTGGTTTTTGGCTGCAGATCTGAGCTCTGCTCCCTCATCAGCTGTTGTAATGAAGCGGATGCCTCAGTCTACGGTTCCGAGGTCCCTGCTGCTTCCAGCCTCAGGAGGGCAGAGGTCACTGGCCCCACAGCCCCCAACACCTTTCCAAGACCAGTCTGTTCCTCTACAAATAACAGGGGCGCTACTGAGGGCTCACCAAACTGGAAAGTTCTGCAAGTCTGTGAATGCTGGAGCCCATGTTGGAGTGTGGGAACCCGGGGGGTTTGGATCCCGTCTTCCCGGGCGAGCCCTCAAAGCTGGTGACCAGGTTTGTTCATCCTGAGATTAATGGGCCCTCCCCCCAGCTCCCAGCCCAGCGCTCCTTATACAGCTTGATAAACGCATGCTGAGGACTTGGTCCCCGGGGCAGTTCACGTCCTGCAGAAGCTCGTTGCTCAGGTGGGTTTGGGGCGTCCCGGGATTCACTGTAGGCAAAGCCCGTGAGGGAGAGGAGGCAGGAGCATCAGGGAGAGAGAGTCTTCGACCCCAGTGAGCTTCTGGCAAAGTCTCGGCCAGCCCGGTGGAGAACTCCAGAGCAAAGATTGCTTGCTGAGGACGCGTGCTAAGGACACGAGTGGCCGGGCCCTACCGCCCCTCTAGAGACCAGCTATTGACGGCGGCCTGGCCCGGAAATGCCTGGTCCTGGCTCGAAGGCCAAGCTGGATGGAGCCGGATGGCTCCGTCGGCAGAAGGCTGGCAGCTCAGTGCTCGCCCTGACGATGAGCCCCAGGTTCCTTCTCCAAGAGAGACCTGAGCGGCTCGCCCCCACCAACGGTCACTGGGCCATCTGCTTAATGACAACTAAAGGAGACATACAGGTCGCAGGCCTCTGAGGCGACCGTGGTCCACCGGCCACGATAAGTCCAGACCATCCGAGCGGGCAGGGCCCTTAGACTTAGGCATTCGTTCAGCAAGTGTCGGGGGAAGCCGTTGGATGCCGGGCACGGTTCTAGGCTCTGGGAAAATAGTAGGTGAATGAAACGGTCTCTGTGCGGATCTGCCAGGAGAGGGGTCAGAACACTTCAAAGGGCCAGAGAGGAAATATTTTAGGTCTGTCGCAAGGACCCCGTGCTGCTGTTGTGGGGACACAGCAGTCATTCGCTGTGTAAGCGAACGGGCGTGACCGTGCTGGTAAGACTTCACAAAAACAGGCCAGGTTTGGCCCGCAGGCTGTAGTGTTCTGACCCCGGATTGGGATAACACCTGCCTGTTTACAGATGCAAAGACTGAGGCCCAGAGAGGGTAGGCACTAGACCCAGCTCACACAGCAGGAGGTCGGGGAGCCAGCGAGGAGTTAGGAGACTTGACTCCCATCCTGGCGCTGTTCCTGAAACCCATATCTCGTGTCAGAGTGCTTCTGGTGGGCAGACGCCATTCCCCTGTCGGCAGAGGACATTCTGGCTGGAGAGGGGCTCACGCTGACACCGACTGCTTGGGTGATGCAGGAGGGACACCGGGTCGGCCGTCTGCCGACCTCAGTCACGTGCCACTGAGTCCACGAACGCCAAGTCCTGATCCGCTGCTTCTGGTTGTGGAGCCCGGGTCGCCCTTCCTCAGTCTCCCTATCTGTAAAATGGGTCGACCAGCAGTGCCCTTCCGTCGGATGGTGGGGATTAACTGAGGCAATATTTGCGAAGAACCCAGGGACACGGAAGGGGGCACTCTGCCTCTATTTACCAGATAAAACAAAAGGTAGCCTCAGCTGGAGGAGAGACCAGACCCAGACCCAGAGAGTGAGTCACCCATAGTTAGGGTACCTTTCACACAACCCGGGACCCTGTCCCGGTCCTGGCTGGGGAAGAGCGAGGGTCCCCTTCCCGTCCAGCCTCAGCGTCATGAGACCCAAGTTCCGTGTTTGGATTCCAGACGTGCGAGGAATCTGGTCAACCGAGTGGTGCCGGTCATCAGGCTCAGTGCTACAGGGCACCTGGTGTGGCCACCACAGGACACACACCTGTGGAGCCAGCCTTGGGCCTCCCCCTCATCTGGGTCACGCAGCTTGAACCAGAGCTGGGGACGGAGCACGATTTGCTCACCTTGCAGGGCCCTGCAGGAGTCACGCTTGGGCGCGAGCCATAGCTGCGGGGTGCCTGAACTACTGTTTACTTGATTTAAAATTAAATTTGAATTAAATACGCCAAAAATGTTAAATCCGCAGTTACTAATAATTTTTCTTTTTTTTTTTTTCAACGTTTTCTTTTTTCTTTTTTTTGGGACAGAGAGAGACAGAGCATGAACGGGGGAGGGGCAGAGAGAGAGGGAGACACAGAATCGGAAACAGGCTCCAGGCTCTGAGCCATCAGCCCAGAGCCTGACGCGGGGCTCGAACTCACGGACCGCGAGATCGTGACCTGGCTGAAGTCGGACGCTTAACCGACTGCGCCACCCAGGCGCCCCACTAATAATTTTTCTTAACTCAATCCTCATTTTACTTGAATACATTTCCTTGAGAGGAAACTGTATATATAGACAGAAAACTGCACCCCTTGTGAGAAGCAGAAAGTCATCTTAGAAATACGCAAAATGAGGGACCCCGGGGGTGGCTCAGTTGGTTAAGCGTCCAGCTTCGGCTCAGGTCGTGATCTCGCGGTCCGTGAGTTCGAGCCTGGCCTCGGGCTCTGTGCTGGCAGCTCAGAGCCTGGAGCCTGCTTCGGATTCTGTGTCTCCCTCTCCCTGTCTCTCCCCTGCTCACGCCCTGTCTCTCAGAAAGAAGTAAACGTTAAAAAAAAGAGAGAAAAGCAAAACGAAAAGCGGGACATATTCCTCTAGCTGCATACTTTTGTCTTTTGTCTGCTAAAGGATGTGACCCTGAGATGAGCTTTCTCTCCACCGTGAAACAAGGAAGATAGGCATTAGGCGAGCCTTTCTTCTTGACAAAATCAGCAAGGCCGAGAAAGAAGCATAAAGGCGGTAACTTTCCCACTGGGTGATTCTTTCTCCAGGCGGTGAGTGTCGGGTGGGGTGGGGGCGCTGGCGCATGGCTGGCACACTCCCGCTTCTGGGCAACTCTGCTCTGGACAGACAGAGGTAGCTACGTACCTGGGGCATTTCTTTTTTTTATAAATTTTTTTTTTCAACGTTTATTTATTTTTGGGACAGAGAGAGACAGAGCATGAACGGGGGAGGGGCAGAGAGAGAGGGAGACACAGAATCGGAAACAGGCTCCAGGCTCTGAGCCATCAGCCCAGAGCCCGACGCGGGGCTCGAACTCGCGAACCGCGAGACTCGCGGACCGCGAGACTTGCGACCTGAGCTGAAGTCGGACGCTTAACCGACTGCGCCACCCAGGCGCCCCGCCTGGGGCATTTCTTTCGCAACGGGGAGTCTTCAACAGGAGACCGCGGACATCAGCTGCGACAGTGCCCCGACTCTGGAGCGGTCACAGACACACAGGTATGGCGCTGGGCAAGTCAGTTTCTCACCTGGACGCACCTGAGGTCCCTCTAGCCGTGGCCCAAGCATTCCAACGGGGACTGCTATAGCTTGGTGGTGGGAGCGCACGTCTGGGGGCAGAGGAGACCCAGATAGCTTTGACCCCTACTCTGTTTCTTATTAGCCGTGTGGCCTGGGTTAAGTCACCCATTGTGTCGGAGTCTCATTTCTTCCCGCGGAGACGACGGTACCTACTTCAGAAGGTGGGTGTCAGAACAGAGAGAGCAGTCGTGCTGGCCACGTAGCACAGGGCGGACCACTAACGCGTGTGTGTTCAACGGACACGCAAAGGAGCACAAATCCTACGGGTTCTGTAGCGCGCTGGGACTCGGCAATCCTCGTGGGGCGTGTCGACCCCGTTATACAGATGAGGAAGCTGAGACCAGAGAGTTAGGGTGCTCTACCCCAGGTCCCACCAAGGGCGGAAGCCAGTGTGGAAACTCTCCGGGGCCCTTGGCTGCCATCTTCTTCCCATGATGCCCCACAGCTTCCCGTGTTCCAGTCTGCTGCACTTGGGCCTGGTTTTTATGGCCCAGGTTTTGTATTTTCCTTTTTTAGAGGCTCTGGGAAAATCTCGGTCTTTCCGCTGACTTGGAAGCCATAATTACCGTATTAACTGGAGAAGACTTTTGGGTTTACTGGAGCACATAAAAAGCAGACGCAGGCCCTGGCCGGGAGGGCCTGGGGACAAACAAAAAATGCCCCCTTTCGCTTGGAGACTAACTGAGCTCTTGGTTCAGGCACCTAAGTGGGGAATAAAGATCGATCCTGCAAATCTGAGGTTAGAACCGGTGCTCACGGTCGTTCGGGCTCTTGGGGAGACGTAAAGAGCCTGAAATACAATGCTTGGCTCAGTCTGAGAGCAGTAATCTAGCTCTCCACTACCCCTTCCGTGAGGCCAGAAATACCAGGACCCCAATACCGGGTACTTACTAGCCTTGTGCAAGGAGAGTACACGAATGCTCCATTTATCAAAGGAAATGGTCCAGTTCCCCCAGGTTTGTAGCCTGAACTGGAATAACCATTTGGCTGAGCACAGGGGAGGAGGGACATGGAAATTTAATGAGCACCTACTCTGTGCTAGGTACTGTACCGGGGCAAAATCATTTCTCTTTGTTGTCAAAATAGACAGCAGGGTATGACTTATGGCTTTGTGCAAATGAGAGGCTCGGCTACCGGGGTAAGTTCCTTGCCCCGGATCCCGCGGCTCGGAAGGGAGTGGGAAATGTTGGGAGAATCATGTGTATCTCACTCTGTCTCCCCAGGAGGGGCCTATTATCATGGGGAGGCATTTCTTCCTGAAACTCACTGGCCTGGCTGGGGTCGGAGTGGGGGGGGGGGGTCGTTGGTGAATGTGGATTCTGCAGCAGGCCTGGGGGAGGGCTCTGTGATTAGCCTCACACGTCGTTTGCGCCTTTCCAAGGCTCAAAGGAGGAAAGACAGGCATTTTCCCTTCGCCCCCCACTCCCAGTTTAAACTGGTTTTGTTGCTAACTGTGAAGCTGGCCCTGTCTGGGCACCTCATTTGCTGCTGAATTGGAAATAGCTGGAGTCTCAGCAGCGATGGGAAGTGGAAAAGGGAGAAAGATAATGCTGGAATTTTCACTGGGGGAAGGGTTCTCCAGATCCATCCATCCATCCATCCATCCGTCCAGCATCTATCCACCATCTGTCCATCTATCCATCTATCCCAAGGCAGGCTGGAGTGGAAGCTTTCACCGCTGTCACCTGGGAGCCCTGGGAGCCATCCCAGGCTCTGCCACTTACCTGCGATGTGATATTGGGTGGGCAGTGTGAGCCCCCTGAGCCTCTGTTTCTACACCTGCAACGCAGAGCGGACAATACCTCCATCACGAGAGTGTTAAGTGGCATTCACGGGAAGAGGCTCATTGAGTAGCCGGTATG